TTACAGCAGCTCGAGGTTTCTGGCATGTGTCCGGCCTGCAGTTCATTTGGATTGACATATGTAGAACAGTTAATGTCATTTCGCTCGCTCCGTTTGTGCCAGTTGCGCACCTGGTTCAGATCGAAGCGGGGAGAAACAGTGCAGTTCTTCCTAGCTTGTTTGGAAAGAGTCGAACTGCTAGCATTTTTAAAATGGATGAGGTTTTTGGCAGCCGTCTGCCCAGGCAAGACAGCTGAGGCTACACATTCCAGGCCTGGCACGGTCCGGCTGGACGCGAGGCCTCTTACAAGCAAAATACAGCGCGTCGACGTCAAAGATCCCTCTGTCTGCTGCAGCGGCGCAGACGAGACCAATTAGAGCGAGAGAGAGCAAAGAAGCGTAGACGCGGGCCTGCAGCAAGGAAAACAACCCTCAGCGTGCCGAACGCTCTAGTGTCGATTTAAAATCTCTCAGCCCGGCTATTGCAGGTCAGGGCAGAACCACAAGGGACGGCACATGGTCCACTTCAGACAGGAAACCATTACCTTCAGGCCACATCGTCTGCTTTAAGTGAGCTCAAGCGCTTGGCATTTTTCAGATCTCATTGCTTTAAGAGGTTTATTATCAACCCTGGCGGACAGAAAAGTCCCACCTACTAGCCTCTTATCTCCAGTGGGCTGCATGGGAAAAGGACCCCCTTAAAAAACAAAAAAAGCCCATGGCACAGAAACGTACTCCTGGTCTCTATGGATCTCCATTTGCGTCATCCCTCAAATAGCTCCATGCACACCCTTTCTTCTCCTCCAGAAATCTAATACGTTATCCTTTCCTCCATCACAAAAGAAACAGAAACATCTTAAATTCTCAGGCCACTAAAAATGCCACAGTTTTTCTACTTTCCGGGGAGGAACAACAACAGGGGAGGACCCTGCATTTAATCAACCGGAGAAAAGATGTGACGAAAGCAACAAATGCAGTTCTCTTTTAAGTAAATGTGGAACCAACTTTTTTTTCTTAATGTTTTTTGGTCATTTTTGACCAAAGAAATGTTACGTTTTAGTTCATTAGAATCAATGTAAATGTTTCTTGATTTAATGATGTTAAGATATTTGCATTGCAAAACAAGACAAAAACCCTCAGAAAGGTATACGATTTTTTGCAGTGCATACAACACTTAATGCCATGACTTTATCAATTTCAGACTTTCTGCTCCAATTCTAAGGCGTTCATTTTTGGAATAAGGCTTTTTACGACCCACAGAATCCCTGATTAAACTGGGACAGGAGAAAATGACTCACTTCCCCTTTAAGAGCAGATTTAAATACTCTCGGCTCTGCCCAGAGGCTCCAGCTTTTCCAGGCAGCCCTGGGCTAATCGCAATTCAGTGACCCGCTGAAGGCTACTAAAGGCTCCATGCGGTGAGGTATTTGAGCTGAAAGGGCTCCTCGTGCCATTAAACGGGGGTTTTCCATGAACACTGTCCTCTGGAGACCTGTGTTTAAATGCAGGCATATGCAGTGAGCTACGCTTCAGTTTACCAGCCAGAATCTCTTTAATATCCAAAGAGGAATCCCTGTGATGCCCAGTGAAGAGAGGGCAGACAGGAGGATCTGATGATTGACAGTGTCAAAAGCAGCAGATAGATCCAGCAGAATAAGAACTGATGATTTGGAATCAGCTTTTGCAATCTGCAAGGCTTCCGTGACTGACAATAGCGCAGTCTCAGTTGAATGGCCACTCCTGAAACCTGACTGGTTAGCATCCAGTTTGTTGTTCTGTGAAAGAAACAATGATATCTGGTTGAAAACAACTCTTTCGAGGGTTTTCGCTATGAATGGAAGGAGAGAGACAGGTCTGTAGCTATCTGTAAGTGAAGTGTTTAATGTAGGTTTTTTGAGCAGTGGGGTTACCCGAGCCTGCCTGAATGCAGTGGGGAAGGTGCCTGTGAGGAGAGATGTGTTGATGATATGTGTGAGTGGTGGTAAAAGTGTAGGAGAGATTGCTTGGAGGAGGTGCGAGGGGATTGGATCTAGAGGGCATGTTGTAGGATGGCTGGAGAAGAGAAGTTTTGATACTTCTGCCTCAGTGAGGGGACAGAAGGAGAAGATGGGAGTTTTTGCAGTGGGTGTGCAAGGGAGAACCAATGAAATATTAACAACTGATTTTATTTTAGTCAATATGTTTTATTTCCTGTGAGCTTTTAGTTTTTCTATGCATTTGTTTGCATAGTAAAATAAAACCTATATTCCATGATGCACATTAGTTTGCCTTTTTTGCCACATAATTTTGTCAGCTAAATACCTTAACCAAGTCTAGTGTTTTCCTCTTTCCAGTTTCACTTGTTCCTCATATTTTGATGGTTTAATTTAACTTGTAGGCTCATTAAAAGCAAACTTTGTGCAAATGTCCCCTCCAGACATCATTTTCCCCCTCCAGACATCATCCTGTAGCTTGGCAATGAGTAGACATGTTTTACTGTGTTAATGAAGTATTTGTCTCTTTGGATTTACCAACAAATCTTCCCAAACTAGCATTTGTCTGCAGATTCACTTTAAGAGATGCACAGAACACAAGCAGCTTTCTAAATGTGATTTATTTGGAGACGAGAGGCTATGAGAAATGCACTATCCACCTTCAAGCAAGCTATTTTCTGTGAAAGTGTGAGACTTCGGAATTTTAAGCCATAGGTATACAGTAGCTATAGGTAAATAAATAAGTGCCGTAAATGGTAAAAGCATTTGCACTACAAACCAGTGTGTTTATAGTTATGATAATATATTCAAATAATATGATAACAAATACCTGTTTGAAATATCAATCAGCATAACAGACTGTTTTTGTACAGCTAGAATAACTGGAAGCGAATGACACCAGAAGTCTTGCAAAGTCAAGTTATAAACACACTGCTTTTATGTTAAAAATAGGAGCGTGCAATGATGTCAGGAGCATGCAAACATGCACATTAACATCACCAATACCTGATCTCATCCATGTTTTCATAACAATTGCAAACTGAACCAAAGTTCACAGAGTTCCTGTCGCAGAAAACCGCTTTCACACCAACCAAACTCTGACGTCAAACAGACACCAAAAGCTCGTCTGTTCTGTGTGGCCCATTAAGACACACAGGTTATTGTCAGAGCAGACAGCCGGGACGATGTGAACAGCGCAGGGGTCACACGCTGGTATGTTTACACAGCCAGACCACACAGATAAAACAACTGCACATAAACCGCTATAGGAACTAATATCACTCCAGACATCACACATGTGCACCAGGTGTGTGTGTGTGTGTGTGTTACAGAACATGAAAAACACACTCAGGAGTCTGTGTTCTTTTCCATTTCACAAGTGTTGCACCGGCAACACATTGATTTGTCACAAATTTTGTTTGTTCCTTTTAAGGTTCCCGTAGGCAAAAGGTCCCTAATGCATTAATTATGCGGCCACTAGGGGGCGCAAACTAAATACTCGGCAGACCAAAGCAGCAAAAAGACCAACTTCTCTGTGAAAACACTAAATGTCCAGTGAGAATAGCAAAGGAAGAAATATTTAATTCATACAAAATTCATCCACTGACTAAAGTGAGTTACAGTGCAAAACATGACACTTCATTTACATTCACTAAAGGATTTAATGCAAAACTTTAAATGCCAGTTCATCTTATTTTCGCATAAATGAGCTGAAATCAATCCTGCAAACAGGACAAAAAGATGAGCAAATGTGACTACAATATTTGCAATTTATTTAACAATTATTCAACACCATGCTTAACGATAGCCAATTATTTGGACATATTATTTTTCAATAACTAGATCATTTCAGCTAAATATTTTGTGTATTTAGCTAATCAACAGTCTAAACATTAGTAGTGAATAGTGCAGGCTGTATCCTGCATATTGTAATTTTATATGTAATAATTCTAACCTCTCTCTTTCTCTCTCTCTCTCTCTCTCTCT